ATTTCCTATGTTCTGTATTTCCCCCACACTAGTTCCTCCCATTTTACCTTTGGCGTCTGCATAGCAATAAACCTTTTAAACGGGACCTTTAATCCTATCCAGAGAGAAATGTGCTCCTCCCACCATGTGCTCTCTGTTCTCTTCACCTATCAAAGTCTCTGAGACAAGGGAAGGGTAAGTTGGCCAGTTCTCCTCTCCAGTGGGAATGGTAGGATTCCCAGCCTCCAGGTGAGTCCTGGAGATTTCCTGCTTTTAGGCCTGATCTTCAGACTATAGAGATCAGTTCCCCTGGAGAAAATGGCCGCTTTGGAGGCTAGGTGCTATGGTATTGTACCATGCTGAGGTTCCTCCCCTCCCCAAACCACACCCTCTCCAGGCTCCACTCCCAGAATTTGCAGGTATGTCCCTACCCTGGCAACCCTGGGGGAAGGGATCAGTTTGGTGTAGTGGTTAAGTACGCGGACTCTAATCTGGGAGAACCGGGTTTGCTTCCCCACTCCTCCACTCGCACCTGCTGATGTGACCTTGGGTCAGTCACAAGCTCTGGCACAGCTGTCCTTGAAAGAGAGCAGTTTGTGTCAGAGCTCTCTCAGCCGCACCCACCTCACAGGGTGTCTGTTGTGGGGAGGGGAAGGGAAAGGAGTTTGTAAGCCGCTCTGAGACTCCAAGTGAAGGGCGGGGTATAAATCCAATCTCTTCTTCTTCTTCTTCTTCTTCTTCTTCTTCTTCTTCTTCTTCTTCTTCTTCTTCTTCTCCTTGTTATGCACACGTGTACACTTACAAGCAGAAATTATCTGACACACCTGAAGCAGCCCAATTGTGTCACATTACAAAAAACCCTCCAGGGGGATACAGCGACTACTAAATGGTGGTTGGATCCAAGCTTGCTGAGTAGTGCACATGAGACCCCATTAACCACAAAAAGGCACTGTGGGGCCCAAATCCCCCCCCTTCCTCTTCCCATTATGTCTCTTATCTGATGAGCAGATGGGATGACATGGAACATTCATGAACAATCCAAGAACTGGGAGAACTATACTGGCAACATGGTGGAAGTAACAGATCAATTAATTTTGCTAGAATTAAAACCACATGCTTGTTCTAGTGACAAAAGAAACTTTTGGTAAATATGTGTATCAGTCATGTGGATTCGAGGCTGCAAAGATGCGATGAACCCTTGGTATACATCATGGTATACATAATGAAGATCCAGCGGCTGCGGGTGCGGTAAGAGTTTCAACACATAGAGAAGGCCAACTTCAAGGCTGGGAAAGGAGGCTTTGGTGTTGAGCCAGCTACAAAGCTGGAGGAGCCTGAGATGCCATTTCGTAGAATCTGAAGTGGCTAGATTTCAAGAGGGGATCCCGTCATTGGTCCAATTCTGTGCAGAGGTTAGGATCCACTGTGGGAGTGGCCTGAGTGTGCAGGGTCTGGCTTCTCATTGGTGTATTTAAATTTTGGGCACTAAATTTGGGGAAGAAATAAGAGGAGGCTGACCAGCGGATTTATGGCCTTCCCTGGGCTACTGACTGAATTACTGGGAAAAGGCAGTATTGTTAAGAGGGCTATTAGCTCTTTGTCCAGCAAGCTTGAGTAAAGTCTTCATAGCCATGGTGTGAGGAAAGCTAGAAACTTTAAACAAAAGCTTTGATACCGGGAGGATCATCTTATCCAGGCCTCTAGCAGGTTAATCAGAGGATCTTTTCACAGTGCGCAACTACAGCGGTTCCTGCATGGGGATTGCTTGCAACAAAGGAGGATGGATGTATTGAATTGGGCATGGGGAGTTCTGTATTGCAAAGATGGGAAATCCTGCCTAGCCAGTGTTCAAGACAAATGGCCCCCATGCAGCATGATCAATGAAAAGGGCCACCCAAGAAAGACAGGCCACGGCAGAGAACTCAGACCAAGCATGATCCCCTGGAGAAGGAAATGGCAACCCACTCCAGTGTTTTTGCCAAGAAAACCACATGGACAGTATCAAAAGGCTAAAAGCCTCTAGTAGGGAACTTGTTTTAAAAATTCTAAAGCCTGAAGGCTATGGCCACATTTCACACATGCTTTTCTGTGGCTGCAAGTGGAGGACAACTTCTGCTATGGACTTTGCACTGTTAACACTGCTTACACAAGATCAATGTTTTTCAATGAGCCCTTCTGTGCAAGTGAAATTTGGTAACTACAAGGGAAGCACACTCCATAATGGAGACTGTGCCCACTGTAGTAAAGAGAAGGGCACACATAACGCAGGCATTAGATCCAAACCTGAGATGCTGCCAAATGTTACAACACCATCAATTCAACACAATAATCCTTATATCTATCTATGAAACACTTCCTTCCCAGGGCACACTTGTGTGACACACTTGTGTGACTCAAACCTGTAAGACTTTATCTCTGTAAACCTACAACTAATTCTAACCCTTTACATTTATTCATTGTTAATATTATCTTTTCACCGATGGCACATAAAAGGAATATAATGTATAGATGTCACAAAAGAAAGAAAGAAGCTGGGAACATAAGCAGTGGAAATGTGTGTGAAACAAAAAATCCAACAATCTGTCCTTTAAACTAAATGAAAAACAGCCTAGCTGTAATCTCTGTGGGCTTAGTGGTGGCTAGCAATAGCTGAGAAGAATGGGGTTTCAGGTAGAATGGAATTCCAGGGTGGAGGAACAATTTTCTTTCTGTGAGACAGAGAATTTGCCAACTGCAGTGATGTTGGGGACTTTAATAGTTTTATTTCATCTTCTTGTAATTTGAACCTTTTTGTTCAGTTCTGGCCTCAAAACAATAATATAGCATTTAGGGCAAAAAATACAAGCCAACAACCCAGCACTGGACGCTAAGATAGAGAAGACCTCCACAGCCACCGTGTATTTTCCTTTTGTGCTCAAATAGGTTGGAATAAAGGTCAGCCAAACACTGCAAAAGACCAACATGCTGAAGGTGGCTTCGTTAAAACCATCAGGTAACTTCCTGCCTAATAAAGCTACGGCGAAGCTCACAGTGGCCAGGAAGCCCAGGTAGCCCAGGACACAGTAAAACATGGCGACCGACCCTTCGTTGCACTTCAGAATCATTTCTTCAGTCATTGAGTGCATGTCAAAATCTGGGAATGGAGGAGAAGTTATTAACCAAACTGTACAAATAATGGCTTGAATGAAAGAGCAACAAACAACTATGGAGTTGGCTAATTGTTTTCCCACCCAGTTTCTCATCCTGGAGCCTGGTTTGGTGGCTATGAAGGCTAGAACCACAATGATGGTCTTGGCCAAAATGCAAGAAATGGCCACTGAGAAGATGATGCCAAAAGTAGTTTGTCTAAGGAGACACGACAACTTCTCAGGTCGGCCAATTAATACCAAAGAGCAAAGGAAGGAGAGCAGGAGAGAGATGAGGAGAATGTAGGAGAGATTCCGGTTGTTGGCTTTGACAATTGGAGTGTCCTGGTTCTTAATGAAGATGCCAAGTACAAAAGCTGCCATGAAAGAGAAGGAAAGAGCAAAACTGGCCAAAGTCACCCCCAAAGGTTCTTCATAAGATAAGAAGCTTATACGTTTTTGCAGGCATAAGTCCTTATCAATATTTGGATACTTGTCTTCTGGGCACTGAAAACAATCATTGGTATCTGAAAAAGAATATAGATTAGGAAGTCCTTTGTATAATGTGTGCATTTTTACTATGAGGTACACAGTGGTGCTGTGTGGAAATCTCAACATTGCATGAATATAATGGAATAATGTGTTTGTTTTTTTAAAAAAAAAAGACGTGCTAATGAATGATACCAGAACACAGTTCATATAACCTATCATTGGTAAACTAAACTTCATTACTGAACATGTCTTTCAATTTTTTTAAAAAAACCCTAGATTTTAATAACAATTCCTTCTTATCTAAGTGTCTCAGAATGTATTCATATCCATCCAGTCATCTGTTCAATAACACCTACAGCACACAAAATCACACATACACCAGAGGCTGTAACATCCTGTTATATCACATCTGCAACCCCAACCACTGGAAGCAAAATGGAAATCAGGTTTCTTTTTTCTTTCTTTCTTTCTTTAAATAAATTTTATTGCTTTTTCCATAATTTACATTCCATAAACCTTTCCCACGAACATTGCATCTACTTTTTCCTTGTTTGCTTATCAAGCCATTATTAACACATATTAAGGAGTCTTATTTATCCTTTTCATCCATTCATAAACCTTAGCCCATCTATTGTTGAATACTTTATCAAATTTATTTTGCAACCTTAAGCTCAGGTTGTCCATTTGTGATAGATCTAGCACTTTCACCACTAACTCTTCCCTTGACGGTATCATATCTAATTTCCACTTTTGGGCCAATAGCATACGTGCTGCAGTTATTATATATACCATTAAATATCTCTCCTTCTGACTATACTCCTTGGGCATCGTATTTAATAGATATATTTCTGGTTTTAGTGCTAGATTCCTTTCCAGTATTTCTTGAATTAATGTCCTTACCATTTTCCAATAACCCTGAACTTTATTACAGGTCCACCACATGTGGTAAAACATCCCTATGTTAGCCTTACATTTCCAGCATTGTGGGGAGTAACCAGTGCAACATTTAGCAATCTTTTCTGGTGTCCAGTGCCAACGATGGAACAATTTATACAAATTTTCTTTATAGGCTGTGGCTTTCATGCATTTAACGGTATCCCACATCCTTGCCCACATGTCTAGTTCTATTTTTTCCCTATATCTTTCTCCCATTTTCCCATTGCTTTTTTAACTTCTTCATCTTTTACAAAGTCATCCAGTAGAAAATTATATAGTTTTTGTATTAATTTGTCACTTGATGACAACCAGACCCTATCTAGTTCATTCGTTTTATCAGCAAAGCCTCTAACTTTATCCTTATTGTATCTATCTTGTACCATTATTTTTTCCCACCATGAAAGTATGTTGTTTCTTAACAGTTTCTCTTCTATTATTAATTTATTTTCTTTATTAGGTAGCGTCTGATATGTTAATCTCTTGTTATTTGTGAATAACTCTGGTTTAATATATGCTTCTAGGGGAGAAACCCACTTTGGTATTTTCTTAAAGAATTTTTCTTTAATTTTAATCCATACTTTGTTTAATGAGTCTCTTAGCCAATGTCTCCTAAAGTTAGTATGAATTTTATCTTTATTATACCAAGCATAGGCATGCCATCCCATGCTCAAATCATGACCCTCCAGTAGCAGAAGCCTCCTATTCTCCAAAGTAACCCAGTCTTTAATCCAGACTAAAGCAGCGGCTTGGTAATACAGGTACCAGTTGGGAACATTAAACCCTCCTCTCTCTTTTCTATCTTGCATTGTTTTCCATTTAATCCTAGCTTTTTTATGTTGTCAAATAAATTGTCTCGTGACTTTATTTAGTTTATCGAAAAAATTCATCTTTTTCAATATTGGGATACTTTGTGCTAAGAATATTACCCTTGACAATATATTCATCTTTACCAAAGCTATTCTCCCCATCAAAGACAAAGGTATTTCCGGGGCTTCCGATCTGGCTCCCGCGAAAGGCAGACGCATCCTCGGGTCGCTCCCGAGGGCGCCTTGCCCGCCCGCGGTGGAGGAGGGAATCCGCGCAAGCGGAGACCCGAACGAGCCCCTCAGATGAGAGGAGCTCGGATCCGGGGCGCTTTAGGGCGTTCCAGGGGGGAGTCTCTCTTTCGGTCGAGAGATCGGAGATTGAGACTCTCGCCATGCCCTGCCCCTTTGGACCTTGCTGCGTGAGCGACCCCGTTCTACGGGGTTTAGCGGAACCACCGGGCGTCACCGAGTGATGAAGCGGAAAAAAAAATGGAAAAGAAAAGACTGGCGTAACTGTGAGTTGTCAAAATACAGAGAAAATGAACTAAGAACGTTTTCCCCCCCCCCTTCAGCGGAAAATGAGGAGATTAATCCTCTATAAGCGAGAAAGAAAAAAAAAAGAAAAGGGGGGGGAATGGACTGAGCGAATAGTGATGTTTTCCTTTGATGTACTTGAAAATAAGCAAGAGGTTTTGTTTCCCTGGAGCGCATTTTAAAAACTTTACTAAAAATAAAAAAACAAGATGTCGGAGCTGGGTAAAGACAAGCGGGGGAGAAGGGAGGGACTTCCGTCTGGGCGTTTGTGTCAACGTGAGTGCCGGCTGTTTAATATTTGGACTGTGTATGGCTATGAATCCAACGGGGATTGTGAAGGAAAAGAAAAGCTTGAATTGTGACAGCGAAAAGTGCCTCATGAGCGCTTATAAAAGTCAACAATTGAAGAGGAGAATCCAGCGAAGGGGATTGGGAGCGGATAAAAGCGAAATTGAAATTAATACCATTCTCAAAGCTGGAGATCTCCGGGCATGGCATGAAAGGAAGACGGCTTACAGCACAGGAACTGAAAGAGTTAACAGCGACCCGAAGGAGGAGGGGAAGAAGCCGGAGGCAAGAGAAAAACAGAGGAAGCCCCTCCCGTCACTGAGAGGGGAAAAGTAACCAGCGCGTTAAAGAAGCGGTTTTGAATGTGCCCTGAAGAGACTTTTTAACAGAAATTCAAAGGAACATTACTAACAAATTAACATAGAAAGTAACTGGAATGGAAAAAAGATGTTTGACAACACGCAGAAGAAGCCTTTGATGATTGGACATTACTAACAGTTTAATCTAACAGTTAATACATCACTCAGCTTTCTCTTCCTCCCACTATATACCCTCCTTATCTTTCTTTTTAAGCGAAACTCCTCCCCTTTTTAGGGGAGTCAATAAAATCTTTATACAAAAAAAAAAAAAGACAAAGGTATTTCCTTCCATTTTAACAAATCTTTAGTGATTTCTTTTAGTAATGTCATGTAGTTGTCCTCTTCTAACGAACTACTTTTATTTGTCAGGGTTATCCCAAGATATTTTACTTTTTTCACCAATTCCATATTTGTTTTATATTGTAGTTCTTGCTCTGGCTAAAATTGGCCATCTGTTCAATAACACCTACAGCACACAAAATCACACATACACCAGAGGCTGTAACATCCTGTTATATCACATCTGCAACCCCCAGCACTGGAAGCAAAATTGAAATCAGGTTTCAAAGCTAATAGTTTAATTCTTTAATGCAAATCTAATGTATCCTGCAGCTGCACTCTTCTAAGGCATGACATCTAGTGATACTTTTTTTAACCCAGACCCAAAAATTAAAAAAGCAATAAATATTCAAAGCTTTAACAATCACAAAACTCACAAAATCTAGCATTAGATTCATCAACTTCATATGTGCCATTAGGATAAGAATAAGGAATATTTGATAAGCTTGGTGTATGCAATCCTTACCCTCCAGGTTTGAAATCTTCCCTTCTGGACATGTAATGCAATCATAGCAGCAAAATGGCTTCCCTTCCTTCTTTCTCTTACTGTGGCCTGAATGGCATCTGTCACCGCACAGAGAAAGGGGCTGCACCTGTCATAAATGAAAGAAGGGAATAGTTTGTTTTAACATTCTGGAAATATGATTCAGGAGTCTGTGTTTCACTAGTCAATCTACTATGTAATCTACTATGTATCTGGAATGGCATAACAGCAAAATGTTCAAAATTTTGCAATGATGACTTCAATTTGAAAAATGTGACCTGAATGGGTCACGTATCTGATTGGCAGACCACAGAGCAGAACTATTCCAGAATTTTAACTATGATCCTCTAACTGAGTCAGGTTCAAGGTTTTGGTATTGACCTCTAAGGCTTTGAGTGACCAGAGACACATGCACAGTCAGGACCATCTCCTCTGGTATGTCCCCCAAAGAGTGTTACGCTCTTCAGAGAACAATCTATTGGTGATCCCTAGCACAAAAGATGTCCAGCTGTCTTCAACCAGAGGACTTTTCTGCCCTGGCTCCCACCTGGTGGAACTCTGTTGATTAACATCTGCATCCTATAGGACTTAATGTAGTTCCACGGGGCTTGCAAGACAGAGATGTTCTGCCAGTCTTTTGGTTGAGGACAGCGAAAAGTACCATCTCACTGGCTTTCCCTCTTTCCTTCCATTTCCTTCAATTAAAATGTTGTGCCATCTGAGACTGTTTTATCTATTTATTATGTATTATTTAAATTGTAATTACTTATGAATGATTTTACTCTTTGTTGTCCACCTCTCTGAGCCCTGCATACTCAGGGGACTGTGGTTTATAAAATCAAATGAGACACAGAGAGAGAGAGAGAGAGAGAGAGAGAGAGACAGACAGACAGACAGACAGACAGACAGACACAGAATGGAATTCCAGGAAACTAGAATGATATGCTCTGAAAAGCATATAAAGCCCCACCTGGTTAAACATGTGGGGCCAAATGATTGCATCTTCATCAATGGTGAACACTTTGTCTTCGGGAGCTTTGGGGTCAATCCTTCCAACTTTGGCTCTGAGAAAAGACTGGTTGGGAAACGTGACCCAGTTGATGATCTCAAGTCCAGCTGCTATCTCCATATTTTGATCAAAGGAAACCAGGTCCCCAGCACTGTTGTTGAATGACACCCTTGTCAAAAATTCATGGAACTAGATATATATTGGAGACTGTTAGTACATGGCTATGGCCATTAAGTAAATTCAAAATAAACAAATCTGCTATCCCCTTAATGTACATGTTTGAACCCACATAAAGCTGTGTTATACTGAATCAGACCCTTGGTCCA